ATCCTGCGATACGCGGCGGGTGCGGCGTGCGCGACGCCGTCTTCAGGGAGAAGTTTCCGGATCCCTCGTAGAAAGTGGGTCCGCAACTCGTTCGCTTCCATCGTTCGACTAGCGGAAGAAGGATTGAGTATGGATCTTACTCAACCACCTCTCAAGAAAATCTCGTTATAACCCCGACTCATGAAGAACCACACTAGCTTAGAAAAAGGTTCGGTGAGGCCCTCCGTGATCCAACTTTAACGTTCTTTAAGCCACTCTGGACTGTCTCACCACCTGCCACTATACCAATTTCATCTGATTTCACCAGAATAGCAACATCGCTAGATACATCTGACCCTGCCAATAAAGTCTATATAATACAATCGAAAGTGGAACAGGACTAGCAGCGCCGTGGTGCGGTGAGGGATTTCCGGATCGGGCACCCGCATAAATCCTCCCAACATGCCTGACAGAGAAAAAAACCTGTAGGTCCCTAATCCATAATCGAATTTCATTGAAAATCAGCATGGAAACTTCCCTGTTGAGTTGCTTTTTTTAAGGCGTGGCGGTAGAGGTATCGCTACGAATTAAGAACCAGATGCTGATTACGTAATTACGAACTACCAACAGAATTATATGACGTCAAAAACCGGCAAACAAACAGCAATTCCAGCTGAAGGTGAGTTCGGAGAAGGGGAAAGAAGGAAAAAAAGAAGAGCACCTACGCGACGTCCTTTTCATTTTTGGCCATTGACTGTGCCGCCAAACTGGATAATTGTACGGCAAGATCAGCCATACGACTCATATTGTCCGGATTTAAGAACCCCATTAACGGCGACAAGTTCACCTGAAATAATTATCTCATCAAAGACGAGTTTGCGATACTCACTAGCGTCACAAAAAGCCCGAACACCCTCTTGAGTGAACGGGAAAGGGTGAAGGCAGGGGGGATATGTTGGATTTCATTTTTCCTTAATGAAAGTCGCCCATGGTGTTACCCATAACTACCGCTGGACACTGTAAAGGGCTCATTACAAAGTCGGTGATAATCGTGCTTACCCATGGTATCCATACTGCCTTGGAGGGCACAAATCAGTCGATTTTCAGCAGAAATGGGTGATCTGTCAAGATTCGGCGGTAGCGTTTCAAATTTTTAGAAAATCGGGTTTCTTCACTTCCTCAGTTTCATTGTTGGGAAATCGGCGATGTGGTCGGCGTTTAATGGCCTACTATAAAGTCGGGCAAAAAAGTGTGTGACAGTGAATGAGGTCTGTTTGGTGAGATTTTTGGGACTTTTACAAAAAATATAATTAATGTAACTACCCCAAAATTTTTATCTTTTCATAAAACACGTACTTGAGAAGGCATCTAAGTTCATCCAAAAGCGATTAGATTAAAGAGAGTTTCGACATTCTGAACGGAAGGTGAAACAGTTTCAACCCAAAAACGACATAGCAGTTTGCAGGGCGCTCAAAGACGTTATTTTTGAATATTTCTGTTTTTTAAATGCAAAATTCAATAAAATATTTCAGAGACAAGTAATTCGCTCCAACAGAAAGATCAGTGTAGAGATTTTTCGTCTAAATCATAGGGATATAGATAAAAAGAAGCAGCAGGCATAGCGTGATCAAAGTTAAGTCATCAACATA